ATTAAAATCCACAGTTATATGTTCTTAGCATTTGTCAACCCACGTTTCTTATTTGTTTTCATGTATTGCTTAAATATATACTCAATATTCCCTCCTCAGGAAAGATGACGCAAACAACAAACCTCATAAAAAATTTATATATTTTTTTTCAGATACCCTTTTTCATGATTCCAAGTAGACATGAAATACTTATATATAATATATGGTTTAATATTTAATGTATATTATAATGAACCATATATTTTGAATGTTTCATTTAAGTTCCAGTTAAAAATGGAACATAAGATAAATATACAGGTGTCCCCCAGTAACGAGCGTAATGAAACTTAAGATAAAGAAGCTTTTAGTCAAAATATATGTCCCGTTGGCATCGAACAAGGCAACTTCAAGAAGGCATCGGTTTGCATTTCATTTGTCTTGGGTCTTTTGCCAGCGTATTCAAGAGATAAGTAAATAAGTCTGTACTGGACAGCAAAAATTGTCAGGTAACCTGAACATTTTGCTTGATGTGGTAAAACCTTAAATTCACTAGGTTTTATTAATGTCAAAAATGTAGATTAATTTAAAAATAAATGAATTAAGTAAATAAAGTAATTTAAACCTTAAATTGACTGGTTTTATTCATGTAAAAAATATATAATTTAATTGAATAATACATTTAATTATTTAAAACCTTAAGTGAACTGGTTTTATTCAGGGTCAAAAATTGAATTTAATAATAAATTAAATTAATTTTAAACCATAAACTAAATGGTAACATGAATTAAGTAACTTAATTCATGGTCAAAAAAACGAGGACGATATCTGCTTCGTCATGCCTGGAGCTGATCCGTGCTGGTGTAAAAATGTAACAGTTACATTTGCACTGACACCAAATACACAAAATAATGTTCTTTTTAGCAGCATCATATGACCCCTTTAAATTTAAACAAACTGGTTTTAGGTCAAATAAAAGTGATTTAATTTAAGATAAAACCATTTTTATTTTGTATTTAATGTGTTATTAAAGATAAATCTATTAAATCTTATTATAATAGGTTATACCAACAAAAGTACTTTTAAGGGTTAGAGCAAGTAGAAATAGATCCTTAATGAAAGTTGCCACTTTTACAGAGTGATACACCTAAAACTAAGCATTCAAAACTGCTCTGCTTTTCTTGTATTTCTCTTTTATTAATAAGCAGCTATTGTGAATAATTAATTCTGTTGGATCTGATTTACCAAGCACAAATAAAACTCTGGAGCAGACGGGGTTACCAGCCAATCCGGTAATGATATAATGAGAATTTTCTTATCAGGTGTTTCAATGGTTTCTGGATGAGTTTTGAATAATAGCTATTCTCTGGTTAAAGATAATTTGCTATTTCAAGCCATAATATTTTGCTTGCGGCTCAGGAACATTATTAGCTTTCCCATTTCTAATAATGAATAAGGAATCGTGCCTGTATAATGGGGGAAACCTGTACATTGTTGTCCTGTGACTCCTCTTTGACTGTCACTCGATCGTAGTGCTTGTGTGTTTCCATCCGTTGCATATTTCATTTATACCTGGACATCCAAATATAAGAGTTTCATGGTGCTGTAACTTACAGCTAAATCAATTCAGGCCCTGGGCAGAGTTGAAAACTAATGTTATACCCTGGAAAATGCCCTTCAACAGAATGACACGCTTACAGCTGATACATATTCAAACCCTGACATTCATATTTGAAACATGATTCACACCTTAGATACTACGTTTTGCTATCATCAAGTCGACCTGCACACAAACTGCTATGTTTCCCAAGAAAACACTGGACGGCGTCACAAATGGAACATTCATATGGACATATGACCAATATATTTTGAAATAGAAGTGAAACACTGACATACCACAGTGTTTGCTCTCAGGTTATATTAATACACATATTCCACATATTCCGAACAAATAAAAACATCATGACCATCCATTTAGGTTTGGTAATAAGCTTAAATGGACATCGATTTGGTTCAAAAACAACCATTAAATCATTTCCTGATATGTCAGAAATCAAATACTCCTTTTATAATGTGTCTTAACGTAATCATTTGGTATTATTTCATGCCAGTCGTGTCATTTCAATTCAAAAGCTTCTAATTATCAACTCTATGTGATAACTACAGTGCACATGTTCGCAAAATGTAACAGTTACATTTGCACTGCCAAGCATTGTTGATCGTTCACACAGTAAGCCTGAAAATGCATAGTGTATTTCAGGTGAAAAGAAAATAATTTTGATCCACGTACTGTACAACACTTAAAGGAATAGTTTCGCCCAAAAACAAAATTTGCTGAAAATGTGCTCACCCTCAGGTTGAGGAGTTTGTTTCGTCATCAGAACAGATTTGGATAAATTTAGCATTATATCACTTGTCCAAACAGCTGATAGAAACATCACAATAATCCATGAGTAATCCACACCACTCCAGTCCATCAATTAATGTCTTGTTAAGACGTTAAAGACATCAACTTTAAAACTGGCCAAAATATGAGTTCATAATTCATAATAATGCTTTGTCCAGGGGAAAAGTCCGTCCTCTGTTGTCCTCTCACATGAAAATCCACTAACATATCTGTTTTGAAATTTTTTGGACTGTTTTCACTTATAAATGGTGCTTGATCTGTGCATATTTCTCTCCTGATTCAGATAAGATGACTTTTTTTTGTGGAGATATTATGGGTTATGGACTTGTATTTCAGCCGGAAGCAATGGTTTGAAGTTAAAAACATCCTGATGGATGTGTTTCTTACATTCACTTCACAAGACATTAATTAATGGACTGGAGTCGTATGGATTACTTGTGGATCATTGTAATGTTTTTATCAACAGTTTGGACTCTCATTTTGACGGCACCCATTCACTGCAGAGGATCCATTGGTGAGCAAGAGACGTAATGCTAAATTAAAGGGTTAGTTCGCCCCAAAATAAAAATTCTGTCATTAATTACTCACCCTCATGTCGTTCA